AATGAAATAACGTATGTGAAAATGCTTTGTTAATTACCACGTACTGTACTAATGTGAGATTATTGTCATCGTGGCCCAGCTCCTCAGAATGCGAAGTTGTGTGTGGCCTAAAATAATCCATCCAGTGAGCTGTGTTAAAAATGTAGGTCAAATCATAGCCTCAGAAGTTGAGAGAGGCTGATGGTAACCACCTAATCTAACAGGCCACCAAATGTAGAGGGGCTTTGAAAACTGTAAAGAGTTACATAAATTGAAGTGACATGATTATGTTTAAGACTAGAAAATACGTTTTAGTCATCCTGTTTCCTGACTTTGAGTCATAAAGATCAGAACGGCACAGGAGCCTCCTGCTTGGCTGTATTCGTGCACATTTGTGGATTCGTACATGTGCCTCTCTCTGTGTGTATGGACTTGTTTATTGAACATCTACTATGTGACAGTCACTCATCAAGTATTTTGAGTGCCTGCCCTGTGCCAGGTGCATCGCTCTAGGCACTGGGGACGAAGCCAAGGTGAATAAGACAGAGTTCCTTCCCTCGAGGGGCCTGTGGCTTGGTCATGATGATAGCTGGCAGTTGCAGTGCTGGATAGTGGGTGCTATGGGAGAGGAAGGACCCATAGACTCAGTCTAGGTGGGGTATGGGAAGGGGGGGCCCAGGGGAAGGGAGTCTAGGAAGTGAGGTTGGAAAAGTGAGGGGAAGGTAGTTGGGGCAGAAGCAAGGGTCTGTGCCAATGTCCCAGGGAGGGAGCAGCCCACATTTGCACCTGGCGTGGTCGGTTTACGATGAGTGGGAAGTGCCGGCCAGATCCTAGGGCCTTCCTTTACCGGGGCTAAGGAGCTTGGCTTGATCCTGCAGGGCCCTGGGAGCCCCCTCAGCAAGGGCTTAAGCTCTGTGGAGTGACGTAATCAGCTTTGCATTTTGGAAGGATCACAGAGCCCCAGTGTTCCTGAGTATCTCACTGCGGCGGTACCAGCCAGATGTTGGGGTTTGTCTGTAGCACTGAGTGATGGCTGCATATGCCGGGCAGTGAGCTGGGGTTTGCATGGGGGTGGGGAGGGACGGGGAGGAGGGAGGGATGCACGTTTGTGAATAGTTCTGGTCGGGACCTGGGAGCGGAGGAAGTTAGCGATTCTTGAGTGACTCTCATGTGTCAGCTGTCCATATATTACCTCATTTAATTGTTATACCATTGCTGTGAAGTAGATATTATTATCCCCATTTTGTAGGTGAGGAACGCTAGACTAGAGAGGTTAAATAGCTCGAAGGGACTAGGGAGTAAATAGCAGAGCAAAAAGTCCAGCCTGCCCCCTCCCTGCCCCAAAGCCCACCTCACTAGAATTTCTGCCCATTCCTGCCTCCTCCCACTGGAAGGACTGACTAATTCAGCCCCTTCACTTGACAGATGAGGAAACCAACCTGGGCTCAAGCCTGTTCCTGCTAAATTTGTTACTGTTTTCCAGCTGCTCCAAGTCACTGTGGATCAAATTCTTCCCTTTCAGAGTATTAGTGATGCCTCCCAACTCAGTGCTACTGGCAGATTTGATAAGCATATTTTACATTCCTTTGCTCAGCCCATCAGCAAAGATATTGAATGAAACAGGCCGCACGACAGATGCGAGAATGAACCACCTGATACGCCTCCTTGAGGGGCACGCCCCAAGCCATCTGCTCACCCTTCTCAGTGTATTACCCCTCTCACTTGTGGGTGTGAATGCAGGCAGACCCAGAGCTGAAGGTATCGCCACCTCCCTTTGCCCCGCGATGTCGCTGTATCACGGAAGAATGACGTGTTGACCGAAAACGGCACGCTTTTCACAAAGCCGTGCTTCAGGGCTAGATGGAAAGGGTATGGTCCAGAGTCGCTCAAACCTCGGTGCGACTCCCCACCTGGACTCTCGTGGAGACTCGGTTTCCGAAGCACACCCCAGGGGTACCAGAGGGCAGAGTGTTGGACTGGGCATCAGGTGCCGTTCCCCGCTTGGGCCCCGAGGGATAAGCTCAGGACATGGCCCTGGGGGCTTCCCGTTCTCAATACACCAGGACCTGGGCAGATGGTCCGGCATCAAGGTCTTCCACCTCTTCCTCTTGGGGGTGTTGCATTGAATTAAATTCAACAGGGAAGGATGTGCTGAGCATCTCCTGTGTGTCAGGCAGAGCACGTGTATGGAGGTGAGGAATGACAGCAAGTCTCCAGATGGCACAGGGGTTGCCTATCAGGGGCCCCCAAAGGCTTTCTCCATATGCTAATGGAAGCTGGGGCTTGGCGGTCCTGAAACAGCAGGTGTGTTTGGTTTTAGTCAGCACAGGCAGCCTGGTAATTGTGGTTCCTTAGTGCTGATCTGAGGCTCTGATTGGCTTTCCTGTCTCTGATTAGTTCAGAGCAAAAGTTAGAAAATCAAATGAATCCCTCTGTAAGAGATGCAGTGTGCTAAAGAAATAGTTCAGAGCCCAGAATTTCTGGATGGTAGGAGTCTTTTCAGACCCCATGCCCACCCAGACTGATCCTGACCCACCTCGGCACCCCCTCTTGGCTGCTGCCTGTGCATTCCAGGCCCATGGGCCCGGCCATGAGCAATGGTCAGAGGCTTGGCTAGGTGTGGCCTAGTTTTCTGCAGGCAAGTACAGGGGCTGGGTGGGCCTCCTGCTGCCGGGGAATATGTAAGTCCTCTCATCGAGGGGCATGTGGAAAACCCACTAAGTGCTGAGTCTGTTCTAGGCTCTGAGTATTCAGCAGTGAACAGAAACAGGCAAGGGTACAAACCATTTAGTCATCTGTCTTCTTAAAAACCCGAGAAGCAGGCAGAATGGACACCTTCCTACCCCCATTTTATGGATGAGGAAACTGAGTTTCAGAGAGAACAGTCCTGGAACTAGCACGTGGACAAGCCAGGCTCATACCCGTTTTGGTTTGCTTTAAGCCCCATGCCTTTCCACGACCTTGTGTGGCCTCCAAATGTTTTGTAAATGCCGAGTTACCTGGTCAGCATGATCAAGACGGTGCCCTTTTAGCCGTGGTGTAACCTGACCAAAAGCACCACCTCAGCTGAAATTCACTATACTTGGGTAGATTCAGTTAGAACTTTCACAAACATTAAGCTGCATTGGTAATGTTTTCTCTCTGTGTGATCCAAGTGATTGTTTCTTAAATGGGGGTGTCTGTGGGGTCTCAGAAGACAGCTCAGCACCAGCAGGCCTGGCTTACCATGGGGCATGTGGCCCTGGGCCCCCCTCCAGTCCAGGCCCACAGAGCTGTCATGGAGGCCTCCCCACCACTTGGCTGTCCCCCACCTCGGCCTTTCTGCCCTCACAGTTTCTCTGCCATGTTTTCCTGAAAAGAGCCTCTCAAGGGTCTCTGGTCCTGGGGCAGCCTTTCTCTCACCACCCTGGACCCTCACCTCCTGTCCACAGCCGGCACTAGGCTCCCTGTCCTTGGCTTCTTTTCCAGACCTTTCTCAGCTGGGTTCCTTAAACTGTCTCTCCAGCCCCTCTCCGGTCCCTTGGTCCTCATTGCCGTGTCATTCTGTACAGCTTCCCTCTGAGGCTGGCAATTCCACCCCTAACCAAATCTCTCTGCGCTCGACTTCTTTGCATCTGTCGACTTTGCCTCTTGGGTTGGCAGCTCCCTTTTTTCTTGCACCCACAATACACTGGCGTCCCCTTTCTGCTCCTCCTGCAACTTGACTGGAGTGTCCCCTCAGTGCTAAGGCCTGGGGCCTCTGTCATCTTCCATCCATATGTCCTCGGAGGGCTCCTGGACTCTCAGCTGCAATGCTAAATCTCCCTCCTAAATCTCCTTCCTGGGCGGGTCTGTCCCAGATGTGCCTCGAATGGATGGTTGGACAGAGGGGGCCAGTGCCACTCTTCCCATTGGTCTCATGTCTATGACTGGTCGCAGTAGGTTTCCATCTGCATGTCCCACCATCACCTGAAAGTTAATGTGGCAAACCACAAGCTATTTTGAAATCACACAAAATGAAAGTTGAGTGGGACATTGAGGGCCACCTCCACTCAATCCCCTGGGAATCTGTGCACCTCCCCTTTTCTGTGGCCCCAGCATGGCTCTGGGCTGGCGCCCTCCCCTGGGAGGACTGTGAAGATGTCTGTGGCTGCTGATGTCATGCAAGGCACGAATGGCAGCCTGAGGGGCCTCTGCTGGGTCAGGGTCCCTTTCTCTCTCCTTCCCCAACACAGTTTTTGCTCATGATTAGTCATGCTGGAGCCGGCTGAGTCAGAAGCAACTTGTGGGTGGTTCGTGGCCAGGCTGGAGCAGTGAGGCAGGAGGACTTTCTAGGTTTATGTGTCTGCCCCACGAGACAAGCATTGCAGGGCTCGGCCCTGGCATGTGCCAGGTGAAGGGTGGTAACAAAACCAAACTCTGGTCCAAAATTCAGCGAAGGAGGGGCATCACGATGAACCAAGACACGGTCCCTGAGATGCTCCCGCGGGGTGGCAGGCACATGCAGTGCCTACGCGATGTGGCAGATGCTTCAGGGCAGGTGTATGTACAGGGGCTGTAATGCCCTCCATGGTCTGCGGTACGCCTCCTTCCAAGGGTTGCGTGCACTTCCAGTAGACGTCGCTGCATGTCATACTTCTCTTCCTGTGATTTTATTCTCTTCAATAAAGGTGATTCATTAAATACAGCATTAATCATTTTTGTACTTGTTTTAGATTTTTTTTCATATAAATAAACTCATATCCAGAAACAAATTCTGTGTCAGAGCATGTGTTATGATTCTGTGGTTCAGAGAACGTGTCCACCCGAGGGAGAGCTGCGTTCTGCTGGGGCAGCGGGGCGGCTCTGAAGTCCCCTGAGGATAAAGTTGACTCGGCCCTCGGGGGTGGCCCAGCTCTGCCAGTCAGGAAGCGGTTGAAGACCATCCCTGCCAGGGGGACCAGCGTGGCACAACCCTGGAAATGTGGCTGCCCTGCGGGTGGGACACTGGGGAGGGCTCTGGGGTCCAGCCCTGGCTTTACAGGCTGTGTCTGTGCCCACAGGAGGGAGAGGAGCAGGAGGAGGCTCGTGGCAAGGAGGAGCGGCAGGAGCCCAGCACAACTGCCCGGAAGGTGGGGCGGCCTGGGAGGAAGCGCAAGCACCCTCCGGTGAGTGAGGTAGCGTGTACCCCCAGCCCAGGTGCGCGCGCACGCACACGCATACGCACACACGCTAACAGCACGCATGTGCACAAACGCTAACACGCATGCGCACGTATGCACGCATGCACACTGTAAATGCCAGTGATGTGTCCTGCAGGGACCTGGGCACGCTAAGACTGGGGCATGGAGTGTACCCCTCCAGCTGTAGAGCCCAATTCCACTCCGCATTCACTGGATCCCCAAAACCACCCCCAAACCTTCATATTTTCTGCATCAAACTGGAGGCCCCTAGAGGCAAGGGGACTTGCGCTGTGGGTCTTCTGGGACTTGAACCAGGCCTCTGACTCTCAGCTTCTTTCTGGAAGGGCAGCAAGAGAGTGGGACTTGTTTTTCCCTAGCCTGCCTGCATGGGCCCCTCCCTCCCCATCCAGACACCCACCTTGGGCCTCAGCCCCACCTGGAGAACTTGGAGGAAGGGAACTGAGGTCTGGAAGTCCGATCAAAGTGAGTAGGGAAGAGATGCAGGCTGTTAAGAGAGGAGGAGGGCTGGGCGCTGTGTAAGTCCAGTGGAAGCATAGACCCCGGGCTTCCGGGTGCCATTGCCTCTGAATCGGGGTGGGGGGGACTCTGGGGTTGCCCAAGATGAGGAGTGCTCCGGCGGGCAAGGCCCGTGGGCGGCAGGAACCTGCCTTCCTTATGCCTTAAACTCAGAGGCAGAACAATAGTTATCTGCCAGCTCCAGCCACAGCTGGTTCCTTTCTTTTCGTCCCTTCCAGCTGAGAATGGGAAACTTGGAGCAAGAAGGTAGAGAGGAGCCAGGAGCCCCGCATTTGTAACTCAGCCCTTCAAGGAAATGTTCTCAGCGGGGCAGGATTTTCCTCCTTGGGGCAGAGGGCAGGGTGAACGTGGCTGCAGTGAAAGGGGCAGCGGAGGGAGGGAGGGCGGGCTGCACCAGCCGGAGGTGAGGGGGGTTCTTGGAGTCGGCAGCTCTGGGAATCTGCAGGGCACTGAAGTGCACCACTGCCACTTCTGCTTGGAGATTTGGAGGGGAAGGGGGGGCAGAAGTTAAGTCATTTAACTGGTAAGTAATTCTAAACACTTTAATATTAAAGCAGACATGGATATTTTATGGCCTGGAATGAAAAATTCACATGCAGTTGAAAGATAAAACGGGACTTCAAAGGAATTTTCAGCTTGCAGCAGACTCCAGGCAGCACTCCCAGATTCCCGGGGGTCCCTCCTCTCTCCTCCCCGCCCTCACAGGGCACCTGGCGGGAGAAGGTGGAGGGGTAAAGTGCAGGCTGAGTCAGAGCCCACCCGTCATTCCGAATCTGAGGTGCATGTGTGCTCGAGATCTGCAGAGCAAACTCCGCCTTTCCCTGGTTCGGGTGCTGGGGACGGGAGCCACCACCTGTAGCAAATGGGACCTGGCAGCCCTTTGACTCACATTTGTGAGTCCCTGGAACCAAAGGGAGGGCACATCACTGAGAGGTGGAGTGAGGCCCCAGGATCAGAGGGTGCAGGGAAATCAGGGGTAAGTGTGAAAGTGTGTCCAGAGATGGATGATGAGAGGGAAGAGGGGCACGGCCCAGTGGGTCATACGCCCCTGGCCTGGAACAGTGCCCAGCATGGAAGGAAAAGCACTGTCTTTAAAATCCAGCAGACCTGGGTTTAAATGCCAGCTCTGCCACTGACCACCTGTGTGACATTGAACAAGTCACTGCCTGAACCTTGGGTTCCCGTTCTGAAAAATAGAGATGATAAAAATGCATTCTTCCTAGACCCCTGTGAGAATTAAATGGGTTAAAACACCAAAGAGCCAGTGGTCAGCAAAGGTCGGTCCTGCCCTTACCCCAAACAGAAGCAGCAGCCCTGGATTTACTGCTTCCCAGCTGTGTGACCTTAGCAAGTTACTCAACCTCTCTGAACTTTTGCTTCCTCATTGGTAAAATATGGCTACCGGTAATACCTGCCCTGTCCACCTCCAGGGGTGCTGTGCAAACAGCAAAGTGGGCTCCAAATGCACAGGGCCAGCAGCGTCATAAACCGGCATCCCCACCCCCGGAGGGGCCAGTGGGCCAGGGGTCTGCAAGGCCTTTCGGGTGGGAGCCTGGCATCGGCCTCTCAGCAGCTCCAGTGGGCAGCGGTGCGCATCCCATGCAGGTCAGTGTGGATGTGGTCCAGTCCTAAGTGAGGCCCTGGGAAGGGAGAGAGTGCGTGGGGAGGCATGGGGCTGAGGCAGCTGTTGTGAAAGGGACCCCTTGCACGTAGAGGGGAACAGAGAACAGCCAGCAGGTCTTCCCCGGCAGCAGGCCCGTGGACCCCAAGGGAGCCCACGTGGGGGAAGTTCGTGCTGCAGCTCAGGGCCAGCCCATGGTCTCCTGGGCCTCGGGCCACCTGGTTCACTTGCGGAGCAGGTGCTGGCCCAGGCCTCCGCCCCTCCCCAGCCGAGGAGCACAGCAGGGAGGGCTTATGGGGACCTGGCACAGCTGTGGCCCTGGGAACAGATTGACCAGGGAGCTTTAAAGCAGCTGAGTGTGTGTCATCGAGCTAAGCCTGGAAACGGGGTGGGAGGGTGGGCTTGGCTCAAATCCTGGCAGGTGGAACAGAGGGAGCAGTGCTGGGAGTGCTGCTGGATGGGGAGGGACGAGGTACATCCAGTGGTGTCCTCACCATCCCCCGGCCTGAGGCTGTGAAATCGTCTCCAGAGTTTCCCCCGAGGCCTGCCTGTCCCTGAGTGCCTTCCACTTTCTCCTGCTCCCACGTCAGCCTCCTGGCTGTGCCCTCACCCGGATCAGGCCCCACCTGCCCCCAGCATCTCTCTAGACCCCCCCGGCCCTCTCTTTTTCAGTGACAAACACATTACACCTACTGAGCACCTGCCAAATAAATAAGACTTATTTCAACCTAGTGTGCTAGAGGGGAGGCCACATGTAATTACACTAAATACAACCCGGGGCACGTCGCTCTCAAGAATCTCTAGGAGCTTTCTTCTCCTGGGATGAGACCTGGAGCCCTCCATTTGCCTCTTCACCATGTGACCCCTCCTGCCTCTGCACTGCTGCTCAGCGTCCACCGCTTTTGCCAAGGAAACGCCGCCTCTTCTCTGCTCCCTGATCACCCCAAGCACGCTTGTCCCGCTGCCTCGTAAGCTGTTCTGCAGCCTTCCCTTCTCTCTACCTGCCCGGTAGCACAGCCCACCAAGGCCTGTCTTGCAAATGAAGCCCAGTGCAGCCATCGTGACCCACGCTGGCTCTCCCTTTTGAACTGACTGTGAAATTAAAATGAACACTAAGAAGTAAGACAAGATATCAGCCCACCAATCCCGGGCTTTGGTCCACACACCTGACTGCGAAGCACCAGTCTGCGAACTGTTTTGCTACCTGTCTGTACAGAACTTGACAATCCGCATTTAGAAACCTTTATATCAATTTGATACTGTCGCCACATCCACAGTCATGATTTTGTGTTTTACAAAAGTGCCATTTCCTGGTGGATTGGGAATTTTGAGAAACCTAAACCAAAGCCTGGCTTTTCACACAGAAAAGCTGGTGGAGAGACCTTGTCTCTTCTGCCAGATCTGCCATTTAGAGGCACCCCCGTTGCACTTTCTACCCACTCACTGAGGTCAGCGACCATGAAGAAAGGCTCAGAGTGGTGCAGCAGTCGATTGCCAGCAAGGGCTTTCTACACCGTGACCTCATTTGATGCCAGCGACAAACCTGTGTGGGGTAGGTGGAGGCCGCTGGCATTACCATCCCCGCATTCAGATGAAGAGACTGAGGTTCAGAGAGGACGATCTGGACTTGGACTCCACACCTCCCGACTGCAGAGCCCACGGTGCTCATTCCTCCCTGCCACTCCAGCCACACCATCTGGGAGACTGGGTATCCCAAATTCGCTTTAAGATAACATATGAATGCAGGGCTGTTTGAAAAAGCGTGTAGACCTGGTCCAAAAAGCATCCAGAGAAAACAGAACTGAGCAGGGCAATTGACCCAAATACCAGGGAGCCTGCGGGTAAGTGGGGAAGGCTGCGGTGGTCTGAGGAGTGAGCAGGGGGCCAATTTCAACCGGGCAGCGGTGTTGGTCTGTGGCACTGGCCTCAGAGCCAGGATGCTCGCAGCCGGAGCAGCAACAGGAAACAGGAAGCCGGCCTCAGGGCTGGGCGGAGCCTAGAACGGGAGCTGGCACCTGGGTGCAGGGCCTGCTGGCTGGCCAGTACCCACGACCAGAGGACGGGACAGCAGCCTGCAGGGCTGGTCTCTGCTGGCCAGAGAGTGTGGGCCTGTGTGTGGGTGTGAGCGTCGGCTGGGAGGAAGAGGCATCTTCCTGTTCACCGGCTCCAAGGACGTTGCTGAGTAACAAGTGAGGGTGTCCGAAGCTGGTTCCTGCCTGATCACAGACCCAGGCTGCCCTGCGACCGCCTTTGTCCTATGTGCTGGTTACCGCTGGGGCTCCAGGAGGGACAGTATCTGCCCTTGCCCGCCAGACCCTGGGGTGGGGACCAGCCCTTCAGGGCTCCCCGCCCTGTTTACTAGGTATATGCACTTATTCATTGAAAATTTATATTCATCAACTTCCTCCAGGGTTATTTTTGCTCAGTGGGAGCACTCTGAGGTCACCTCTTGCTAAGAATAACCCAGAAAGGGGGGGAGGGGGAGGGGAGGAGTGGGGGAGGGGGCTGGGAGCAGGCACCGAGCTCAGCCAGACCTGCTGCTGCGTAAGTCACTCCTCACTCCTCGCTGGAGGCTGAGCCTCCATCGTAACGCCTGAGTGAGTGAGTTCTTGAGGGCCAAACTGCTCCACTTCAAAGCAAAAGACTTGTGCTGTAAGCTCTGTGAAGCTGGGGAACCGTCCCACTGCAGCTTAATCCAGCCAAGTATCGTTTCACTCAGTTATTGGGCCTTTGCAGTATTGGCTCATTTTCCCACCTAATATGACCGTTTGATTCTTAAAACAGAACTCAAATCCCCTCTTTGTGTCTGGGTTAGAAGGGCTCCTTC